CTAATTTGCTTTTGTAGCTTATAAATTTTGATTCTAGATGAATTGAATATGGTTGCTATGCTTCAAAAATTTATCTTGCTTTAATGGGTTTCACTTGTTAATTAAGAACAAGCATGAATGAAAGCTTCTTGGTCTTTTAAGCTAGCCAAAAGTTGGAATTGATTTAAGCTTGCTTTCATTTTGTAAGAAAAACAAACTCTTTAGATTGACTTAATGATCATTAAAACCTAATATGTTCCAGTTGTAATTTATTACTATTGTAGACAAAATTAGCATCCTTGTCTGTTTGCATTAAGTGATAAAATGAAGTGTAACTGACCATGACTCGAAATTTCAACAATAGATACAATAATACCCTATCATATTATATCTATTTTCTTTTGGATAGATACATATTTCTCTACGATAAAAAATCTTAGAAAAGAAAAGGACTAAACACAACCCAAATTGTCTATTATTGTGTTGGGTTTACAATTCATCCTATGCTTCCTATGTATGGATTGGTTTATGAATAGATGCTGTAGGTTCTCATAAAAGAAAATCTTTTTTTTTTTTTGATATGTACTCATTGTAAATTAATAATCCAAATGATTGCATCTAGATGGTACTTCAAATAGGAAATGAGATAGTTAATTGATTTTTCATCGAATGACTAGTCATCTATTGTAAGAGGAAATTTAGAAGAAAGGGGTAAACTTGATGGAAAAATCGTGGTTAAATTCCATGTTGGCTAAGGAAGAATTATAATATAAATGTTGACTAAGTAAATCTATGGATAGACTCAGTCCTCTTGAAAATACTAGTAGTGTAAGTGAAGACTCAGTTAGAAAAGATACAAATAAAAACTGGAGCTCGAGTAGAAGTTCTAGTTATTGTGGTAATGTTAATAATTTAATTCACATAAAAAAACATTCGGAATTTCATTTCTAATTACACCATTTTAATTAAAGATAGTAATTGAGATAGTTTTTTGATATATTTTGACATTGAAAATCAAAATTTTGAGATTGACAATGATCATTCTTGGTTGAGTAGTTCTTTTTATTCGTTATACAATAGTTCTTTTGATAGTTATTGTAATTCTAGTTACATGAATAATATATCTAAAAGTGATAATATGTACTATAATCTTAGTACAATACTAACTATGATTTGAATAATCACATTAATTGTTGTATTGACTCTTATCTTCATTTTCAAATCTATGATATAACTAAAAAATAGTAATCCCTTTGAAAAATATAGACCTTTGTGGGTTCTATGCAAAACTTGCCATACAAGAGATTGTAAGAGACTTTGTAAGTCAAAAATATATATTTGTCAACAATGTGGATATTCACAAATAATTGTTTTTATGTGAATGGATATCAGGAAAAAGAAATGGATCTTTTGGTTTGATATTTTTATATTAATTATTTTTTTACTATTGTAAGCAAAATTATTATTTTTGTCTAGTGCATTAAGTTATAAAATAAAGTAGTTTTAATGTGTTATTTTTCTTCTAATTTTGTCCTTCAAGATTCAAATATAATACTTTTTTAATGAATTATTTTGATAAATTTGACTTTAGATTGTTCTTTTTTATTACATAAATAATTTTTTTAGATATTTTAATAAATTATTTTGATAAATTAACATATTTTGTATGTTTATAGACTTTTTATTTTGTTTTATATAGACAAATTTTAGTGATTATTGAAAATTGGATAATGATGCCGGAGACGATTTTCATGAAACGAAATTGGGGGACGATTTATGTGGCAAGCCACGTGAACAGACACACAGCATATTTGCCATCTAGACCGAATTAAATGACTGATTTGGGTTTCCATTAAAAAGAAGTAAAATTTTTTAATTTATCAGTATCGATTTCGCTTCTGTCTTCATCTTTACAGAGCCCCAACACTAACCATCTGAATGAAGATGAGGAAGAGGAGAACCAGCCAAATCAAAGTGTAGATACAGACGATCGCAATGGATTGACACAGTGAAATACTCAAAAGTGCCTTTTGCGAGCAAATGGGGGAGCATCTCGGTGGAGTTGAACCAATTCATGACTGCTTCCGAGAACTGGGGGGCGCATCTTGAAGGTGAAGATGCTGCCATGGCTGAGCTCGAAACTTAAAACCCAGATGGGAAATAAGAACATGATCGTTTTCCGGGAAAACCCCATTTCTATCTCCACCCTTTAGGAAACTCCAGAAAGATTTGGATTAGAAAGTTGAAACCTTTCGCCAAGATTGAATGTGGGTTCGAAGAGGAGGCGATGATTTTGAAGGAATTCAAGATACTTTGCCTAAAAATTAAAGTTAGAATTAAAAACTAAGTTAAACTCCTTTTACAAATTCTCACCACTAAAAAATGAAGTTACGTGTATGTAAGTCTATGTGATAACTGTACTGGATGTCTGTCTACGTGGCTTGCCATGTCAATTGTCCCCGAATTCGTTTCACAAAAATCGTCTCTTATATCATTATCCTTGAAAATTTTCAAATATTTTTCATGTGGACAAATTCTAGTAACTTTGAACATTTTTAAATATTTTCAGTTATGCGCATTTTATCTATATATGTAAATTACAAAGATTATCCCATATAATCTTGCTTATTGTCAAACTAAATATAGGATAAATTTTATATCTAATTCAATGATATACCAAACAAGATTAGACTCTTGTTATCCTGTCTAATCAATTCAATCTAATCTCATCTTATTGACTTTATCCAGTTTAATCCCATCCTGCATTTCCTGCATTTCAAA